CAATCAAAATCCCCGCTTTTATAGCAGCTGCAATTCTCCTTGTTAGCTGTATAACAAGTAGGCCTCGTTGTTAATCGCATATTTGCTTTCAAGACTAAGGAAGTGCGGTATTTGTGGTAAATAATGATTCCTTTTTCCTGATCTCGCGCTCATTATGAATTCCAAATATAAAACGTTCTGTAGTACCCATTTAGTTCTACTTGTCCTAAATTTCACTATTTCGAGGATTCTTAGTTAGCTCGTTAATTCAAATACTTTCGATCATCATAGGAAGAAGCCCTCATGTAGTAATTCAGCATAAAACAGTCTGTGTATAAGTCTGTGGTCAGACACAGAAACATCGTTGTTTCTTACAGACTAAGATTTGTAGACATTCATTCATGAAATCAGTGCACTCACTTTTTCTGACCTACAAGAAGCTACAAAGAGAAAGCTTTAGATGAAACTCAAAATTTCTGGATTGTCCGTCTAAATGACATCATGATAATTTATATTTCACGGGATCTTAGTTATGTTCATGACATTACGTTACAGAGACTAAGGTCTGATAAACATCTTCAGTAACCATTCTTCAACGAAAGATATGATCAATCAAGTACAAACCGTTAAGTTTTGAAAATACAGAGCATCAATTTTCTCAGTAGAAGAAATTCAAGCATTATGCCTCTACGCTTTGTAACTATACTTAAGTATAGCGACTACTACTTATCGTCCAACAACCTTCCTTCTATTGAAGATATTTCTCTGCTCGCACCAAAACTCAGCGTGTTTTTACAACAACGCATTCATGAAAACACATGATGTGCTTTTCGACATGTCATTAGTTAATTATTTTCTAATTCCTGAGCGTCGTAAAGGTTCATATGAATTTTCTCATAGAACGCCGATCAAGAAATTCATGGGTTCAATATCCAGTTTCAATTTGGGCAGCTGAATGATCTTTTGTAGTCCGAATGATGAAGCGATCTCATTTGGGCTAACTTTCTTTTGAGTGTCCCATAAAATGTAGCATCAGTCGAAAAGTTGGCAATCAGACGAGTATTTGGTTTTACGCCAGTGAACCTTTTGAAGTATCCTCGTCAGTTCCTTGTTTTAAAACATAAGTAAAATGAAAGAACGTCACATTTGAAATTATTGTCCAACAACGTCATGGGCATTACTAAATTACGCTCTTTTTTCTTTCAGACATAAGGAATATGTTTAGTTTCCCCACATTATGTTCACAAGGCAGATTTGAGATGCCAGGAATCAGTTCACTTGTGGTCCTTTGAACTGAAGATTCAACGCCAGTGCGACTTCGACTCATAATTAGTCAAATGGGCGTTTCAGGTCAGAGCCTTAACCACTCCTTCAATAAGTAAGTACAGCTCTCTGAAATAAAACATTCCCCACCTGAGTCAATGCCATCAGTAGACAGTGAAACATATGAATCATATTTTGGGAGATTCAAACTGATTTATCAGTTCATTCACTGATAGTGTGTTCATCCAAGTGTTAATTTATCTTCAGTTGCATTTTGGTTATGACAGGAAACTAGATTACCTGTGTTACTCCTGGTAATGATGATCTCTCAGTTGATCCAACATTCTTTCGAAAGCGTCGATGGATAAAACATGAGTCGTGCGTGAATGTAGTGAATTCTATTTATTGACTATTTAATAGGAAAGTCGATATTTAGCTGACAAGTTATTTGTCATCTCTTGAACGTGGTATTGTTCGGTGAACTGCCAAACATCTATTGATTTGCTGTCTGATATAGAAATGATTTTATTCGATGGTTGGTTCACCTAAAGCTCGGCAACATTCTATTGCCTTTACGTAATCAAGGTGATATGCTCCCCAGCAGATGACATTGTTTAGGTTGAAAGACCTCACATGACAGGAATCAACCCTTTTCCAGAAACAATCACCAAGTTGAACATTGGCGTTCACGATCATTTCAGATATCTTGATCATATGATGGAACTGTTATTTCAAATTGTCATGTCATTGGCTTTCGTACATCAATTCCAGTTTTGGTCCGGAAAGAAAAAAGGCTGGGTGGCCTGTGTTTGTCCTGGCAATGGTGGTTTCTCAGTTGACCCAACATTCTTTTGAAAATGTAAACGGATGAACCGTTAGTCACCTGTAGATGTAATGAATTCCATTCATTGGTGATTCGATGGAATAGTCCATGTTCAGCCAACAATTAATTGGTTCTAGGCTTGCGAAGTTTTGTAGAATATCCTCGATTTGATGTGTCTCATTTTACCTCACCTAAAACATTGGGCATGTTGAAATTCACATGAATTACGTGAGTAAGGTTCACTACATGATAAGCGTTCACCAAACCTATGCTCATCGCTGTAACCTGCTATGCAGCTTCTCAATGAATACATCGGATTGAGATAAATAAGAGATATGGTAGAATTCATGATATCCTGAGAGTTTACTTCATTCCTTGTCTCGTATTTATTGCACGAAGTTTTAGCAGAGTGAAAGAAACGCTGAGATGAGGAGAAGATTTGTAACTCAGGTGGATGATTTTGGTGGAGTTTTGTTCTCTGAGCTGGATAGTTTGGTCGTGGAGCTTTCATCATTCTTCTGAACGACATCATCAGCACAAACTTCAGATAGAAGGACTTCTATCGCTTTGACATCTGTGTAAGCTCTTTCTCAAGATTTGGTATGTTAATTCCTGCAATCAGTCGATCACGCAGCTTGACATGAAGTCGACTTCCGAAATGACACTTGGCGGCTTGTTTCTGCGATTCAGAGAAAATTGTCCAATATTTTGGTTGTCTTGACGAATCATTCTATTAAATTTCGCTTTTCATGGCATTCGAAATCAGTACATTTTATATTATTTAGTAGTAGTTACATGAAAGTTGCGTAGGGAAGTGTAGTAGGCTTATTTGTGCATGCCAAAGTTTATCATTTCTGATTAATTTGAGGAAATGGGCCATGATTTTTTCATCTCCTGGTCATACTTCAGATTTCAAACCTTTCCATGTAATCTATGCCCGACTGTTCAATCAAAGGCTCCATTGTGACTTTAATATGATGATTAGAATCATTCGAATTACAGCCTCCATTGATTTCAGCAAAGCTTTTGACAGGGTTCCGCACAACCGGCTGTTATATAAGTTCGGAAATGTCGGGATTGGAGGCAATCTATTTATGTGGGTAAAAGACTTCTTAGTCGGGCGTCAACAAAAGTTCGGGTGAACTCAAAGTTATCTAGCTGGGAAACTGTGCTTAGTGGAGTGCCCCAGGGTACAGTTTTGGGCCAGTGCTACTCCTCTTGTATGTAAATGACCTTCCTTGTCTCCTATCATCATCGGTCTTGCTATATGCTGACGATGTCAAGATATGGAGAACGATACGATGTGAGGGTGATAGCTTAGAACTCCAAAATGACCTGAAGAAATTATCTGAATGGTCTCAAACCTGGCAGTTGCCGATAAATACTTCCAAGTGTGTTGTGATGCATATAGGTCATCAAGGTACAGATACATACACGATGAATAACACTGAGCTACCTGTCGTCTAGACATATAATGACTTAAGAGTCATCGTTAGCCAAGACTTAAAGACTACTGCACACTGCCGTGCAATAGCCGCCAAAAGTTTTAGAACGTTATGGTCAGTACGTAGGGCTTTTAGTCATGTCGACGCTAAGACGTTTTTGGCTTTGTATACAGTGTTCGTACGTCCTAAACTTGAGTACTGCATACAAGCGGCCAGCACCTGCTTAAAAAAGGCAGTGAGCTTCTGGAAAAGGTTCGGAGAACGGCAACCAAGCTGATTCCCGGAATAGCGAAGCTGCCGTATAAAACTCGATTGGCCAAGCTAAACCTTTTCCCGTTGTCATATCGCAAAACTAGAGGCGACTTGATTACAGTCTACAAATTGCTTGGTGCCAAATTTGCACCTGGTATGCCCTCATTTTTCTTGTCTTCCAAAACAGAGAATTTACGAGGACACTCCAAAAAAGTTCACAAGCCAAGAACAAATTACTTGTCAGTTGACTATTGACTTTCCCATCGAATCATCAACGAGTGGAACTCATTACCTGAGCACGTGGTTGAGGCTCCATCCGTCGATTCTTTCAAAAGAAAGTTGGATCAACTGAGGGACCACCATTGCCAGGACTAACACAGGCCATCGGGCCTCCCGTCCTTCCCAAACTGAAACTGAAACTGTAACAGTACTAGCTACGAATCCCCGAAATAGCTCAATTCATACCAGATAGAATTCGATTAGCATAAACAAAAGTATTTTATTCGGAATTCGTAATGATCGAGTAACCAAGTACAAAACAATCATTAGTTCGTACGAATACCACACATATCTTCCTTACGGGCTCGTATAAATTGATTGATTCCCACCCTCTCGATTCTTGTTGTTTCCGGACGGTCCCAGGTATTTGATAACTCATTGTCTTATGATCAAACTTCACCTCTAAAAATTATAAATCATTACAATCCAGACATTGGGATGGTACTCAAAAAATAATATTTATGAACCAAACACCATTGGTAGTTTACTAAGAGCAATATATTTGGGATCTTATTGCACACCATTTTATATATGTTTCAATGACAAAACCATATAAACAACTAATAGGCTTTGTTTCGGTCACAGCTCAGATTTTTTGGTCAAAGCATATCCAGTTTCTACGATTCAGTGGATTAGGCTTCATTGTATGAATTACATGAGCAAACATTCAATATTCAAAAGTCATCTGGAAATTCACTGTGGGAATGTTTCAAACTCTGAAGCCATGAAAACATTTACAGTAATATTCGGACATCTAAAAAATATTTTTCAGATCTGTTCGTTCACCTCAATTGATATCACGATTGCGTTTATCTGTGCTATTTCGTTTCACACATGCGACATCATATATCGACCTTTGAACGCGCATAAGTTAAAAAGGTCGTCTACTGTTCTGTAAAACTGTCGACTTGAGTTCCTTTTCTGCATACGAATATATGCCATAGCATATACTCACACAGATGGATCAAGTTCATGAGCCACTTTTAAAACAGTGTATTGCTTCGCTTACTTTAAATAACAATATACTTAAACAGAACCCTTGTGATAATTTTTGCTTGCTAAAGAATGATACAAGCTCTAACCAACAAGCAGCCAAAACTGTGTCCCTAGTGCTAACACGTCTTACTAATTCAGTCAGCACATACGTTCATGTTCTTCGCTGTAATGTTTGCGATTACTTGACTCTGAATCCTACCTCACTGAAGGAACATTTTCGTTTACGACACCCAAGTTCTCTGGGATTTCTCACCTATACTTGTTCCCAATGTTCAAGCATGTCAACGGAGCGGTCCCTGATGGAGGAGCACTTGAGAATATATCATAAAATAACCGAAGTAAGTTAGATGATATTCCTTTCTGGTGTTACTTGGAGATTTATTTTGTTCAGGACCTGGTAAACACCACCCTATATTCTATTACTTTTGCTCCTCAAACTTACTTAGGTATTTTATTACATGACATCGTTAAAATGTTTTGGCTTTCAAGTCGTTTTATTTTATTAGTTATTCATTGGAATCCAAGTCGAGCAATGGACGAATATGGGAATACATTATTTTCGACAAATACACTTTATCTACTAAGAACACATTATCTCACCTTAATATTCCGTGCTTTGGATTTTTGCCTAATGCGATACAGTTTGCATCCTTTGAAATTCTTTTTACATCAAAAACACTGACGATAATATGTTTCACTTGTAACTCCTCAAAGGTATTTACAGTATTGATAATCTTTTTTAGTGGTTTTCTAGGCATCAGGAACAAGTATACAGCAGTTGTATTAAGTTGAGTGTCTCATTCATTGTTACTAAGTCGAGTTAATTGTCATGAATCATTAATCTGGCTTTATCACACACTACGTGATTCACGTTTTTTCTGCTCGGTCAAACATTCTAAATAAAAGCCCTTATCATCATAAGCTACATATCAAGATTAGAAAATCACTTAATCGCTGGATCTGTGAAAACAGGTACATGTAAATTAATAATTTTGTCCAACCTGCAAGTAACTGCAAGATCTCTTGTTAAACTACGAATTAGAGTGGACTGCTCCTTTTCGGTTGGTAGCACAGTTATACTAAGTGATAATATCGCAGGAACAAGTTCAATAAACATTTTAACCATTTAAATCCACCCAAAGAATAGCTCAGAAGTATTTTTATTTGCGCTTCGTCCATCATAGGTGAAGGGACTTCATGTTTTTCATATATTTTAGCCAGTCGGAATTATGCAAGTTTCCTGATTCTAACTAGATTGACTTAGAACTCCAGCGTATCATCACACTGAGTGTAAAACAGTGACACCTGAAACAGCTTTTACCTTTTCAGATATAACCTCATCGTCTAGTTTGCCTCTTCGAAAGGGCGAATTATCAATGATAGACTAATGAGTGTAGTATTTCTCTCATCAAGTACTCTCAAGATTTTTGCTACTAAAAAACGATATTCAGAGGAGAAAACCATACATTTTGTCGATATTTAATATCTGTAAGTATAACATTGATTTATCGGGGTTTATATCTACACAAATGGCTGTGCATTTACCTCATTCAACCTGAATCGAAGTATGTTCAGTTTGTGGTCTACTTCAGTACACCAACATTTAGTAATACAAAATTGCCCTGTACTATTGGTCTATTACTGTTCTGGTAGCTGACTTAGTAATTTTATCTCCATGTGCTGATATAGTAAATTGGCTTAAACCGATACAAGTATAGGCCCAGTTCTACGTAGCTTAAGGTTAACTAACCAGGAAACCATATACCTTAACTAAGAAGACATTCATAACCCTTAATACTTCATTGCGCAACACCCAATCAAGTACTACTTCAAAAGTTGGAAGAATTTTGAACACTGCCTTTGTTATATTTTATAAACATTCTATAAATTTTATGCATTACAAACGTCCATCATCTTTAAGAACATCATGAAACCTCTAATTATTTCTAAAATCCGTTAGAAACGTCCTCATAATGTTAAGAGGTTCAGTGGCTCACAGTCATTTTACATATGTATTTATAAATACGGGAGTAGATACAGACGACAGTTAATTTTTCCATATGAGAATTTACTTATAAATGCCACCACAAACCTTCTTTATATACTTAAGTTACTTATAAGACCAATTTTTGTCCCATTAATTTAGCTGTTATAGTTTTTATGACTATGATTACAGGCTTTGCTTGCATGTAACTAATATACTTATACAACTTACTTAAAAATTCATGCTTCTAACTCAATTCCGATTTGCCATGAAGAATTTAGTTGGCAACCTATGAAACTGGAACATCCCTTCGCTTTCGTAGACTCACTCTTAGTAGATTTTAACTTTCTAAAATCTAACTATTACTAACACATCTAATAAGTATAAATGAAACCTTCATTCTGGTGGTTACATATTATTTAGTTTATTCTGACCACATCAATAATCGACATAAGATATATATCTTAGTTGGCGTTTGATCATTCTTATGGTTCCCACATCAAGTTGCATAATTGCGTTTTATCAACTTTTCCCGTGTTTAATTAATATGAATAGGTGTCCACCCCTAACAGACCAAATAAATGTGCTTCATCTATTGCGTGAAGCGAGTTTAGTTATATTATCAGTTATTGTAATAATTCACGGGTCTTTTTTTCCATTTTACAGAACCCAGCTGCGAAACTTATTGAAAGGTTTCATACTCCAACAACAGCATCTGATGCGCTCGGTTTTAATTGCATCTCACCCTCTACTACGTCTGGAAGCACGCTTCCTCTCAGTCTGACAAATTCCAATGCAGCTATTGCACAAAATAGTCTTGCTCTAAATCTCGTTAATGCAATAGTGGCCTTACAGCATGCCAACAAGACTCATTCGCAACAGGCGACAGTAAGTACTGCCTCCTCATCATGTACCACTTGTACAGTTTCTACTGTTTCCCCAACAAAAAACACAATTATTACTCCCACAGCTGAAAACATAGAAAATGCAGAGCCGGATACTAATTTGGATATGCAGATATTCCAAGACGGATCCGTCACGGTTGAAGCCCAGACGTCTGCTTCAGGAAGCCCAGCATTTGCCATCAGCGGGTCTCGTCGCAGAAAGGCAACTACTCCCGTAAGTATAAAATTACGCGTTGCATAACTTTAAACATTTGAACATTCTTTCTTTCTGAAAGCCGGAAAGTATTTTTGAAAAACCTTATTGTCGTCCCTTCAGATATATATAAAAGCCCCAATTTGCATATTTACAGGCTCATATCAATGGATGTACATTGAAATCCTCCACAGGTCACCAGAAATGACTAACTTCATAAAACATAAAGGTTAGGAAATGTTAAAGTATATATGAAATATTTAAGAATGCTACAAAATCTGTTATGTTGCTAACGGTAAAACTTGAAAGCTCGTTCCTTTTGGTTGCAAAACTCAAATTTACAGATGTACCCTGAGGATACGTGAGTTCAAACGTCGAGTTGTCAACACATAAAAGCGTTCACGTAGAAATGATCAGATTTTAACCTTATTTTCAATGAAATCTCCTCCCCACAATGTCGGCCGAAATCAACTATGTTATTTAACTCAACACAGATTGCAATGATTATGAATCATATACAATACAGTACGTAGTCTTCTTGAGTTTATCCTTAGTCAGTTAGTCAGTCAACTGCAGTACAGGACCAGGCACATAAATGAATCGGTCCAAGTTACTATACCTCACTAGCACAACAAGATTGACACCAAATTCATAGCAGTTACTTCAGTAATGAAGAAAGATTTCATATAGGAATATAATACAGGAACAAAAAATGAGTTCGTAGAAACGAAAGGTATAAAGTAATTTTAACCACACGGTTTATGGGAAAACAAAGAATGTATACACTTACACCATGTCACCCAGAGTCTCCAAGCATTGGTTACGATAGTCACGCGGACCACAACCAAGTAGTCTGCATCTACTAAAATGGCTCAGACCAGAAGTTAGTGACTTCAAGCACTGATGCCACGTTTTGATTTGACCACCCCTAACCTTGTTCCAACCATCCCCATCACTAGTCAGCATTGCGCGTCATGGTAATCGGTGTTCAGGCATATGTAACACGTGGCCCAACCATCTCAGTCGATGAAGATTCACAACCGCATCAACTGATTTACCATTATTCCCTATTTCCCTGCATCTAACCTCAGTATTACTTACCCGGTGATCCCGACAGATGTGAGCAATATTTTTAAGACATCTATGATCAAATACTAGCAACTTACGAGTGTCTTCTACTCTTAATGGTCACGTTTCGCAGCCGTCAATTAGAACACAACGAACTGCCGGATAGTATACTCGTCCCTTAATTGGTAGACGGATATCTCGCCTTTGCTATAGGTCACGTAAGTTGGCAAAGGCCAAAGGAGCTTTTTGAATCCGTACAGAGATTTCGTCAGACACCAACCCATTAGGGCTGGTCACACTTCCAAGATAAGTGAAGTTCTCGGTGCGTTCGACTACTTCACTCCCTACCCTTAGTTCAGGTGTTGACGCAGACTAGTCCTGAAGCAACAACTTGCATTTAGAGGGGGATAAACGCATCCCAAACATTCTGGCATTGTTACTCGGTGTTACTAAGAAACTCTACATTTTATCAGCATCTTCACCAAACAGGGCTATATCATCTGCGTATTCTAAGTCAAAAAATGGACCTCCTGGCAGAAGACCAATCCCCGAAAATTCAGTCGACGAGAGCGTTATTTCTATCAGTAGATATATTGTGAAGCTAAACAAAAATAGAGGTGAACAGCCTTGCCGGGTAGCACTTGAGGTTGCAAAAGCAGATGACAGTTCGCCATAAGCTCTCACTCGATTAATAGTGTTCAAGTAAAGAGCCTTCACAGGGTTTATGTACTTCTGAAGTACACCTTTCAATGACAGACACTTCCATAGAACCTCTCAGTCAACAGAGTCAAATGCTGCTTTTAAGTCAAGACCACCATTGTCAGACTCCAATGAGCATGTGTGTGTTCTAGAACCTGACAAACGGTAAATATGTGGTCGATGCAGCCACGACCAGGTTTGAAACCAGCCTGATTTTGTCGTGTTTGCAGTTAATGAGTCTTGGTTAGGCGTCCGATAATTATTGAGGTTGGTATTTTAGAAGCCATATGAGTTAAACCAATCCCTCTATGGTTATCACAGGATGATTTCGACCCCTTCTTATGTATTGAGACAATCAGTGATTGCGACCAGTCACATGGGATTGCGTCCAACTCCCAGATTTTAGCTAAAATGTTAGTCAACTTAATCGCTAAAATTGGGCCACGATCCTTAAAAACCTCTGGAGTTAATCCATCCAGACCAGCTTCCCTTCCTCGTTTATTCTAAGATCATTTTTATTCATTTAAATATTTGTACAGTGCTCGATTCCATAAGTGTGTCATTAATTACAAGAAGCTAACTAGAGATTTTAAGGATCTTGGATTTAAAGTGCCTGATAGTTTATACAGTGCAGTAGATTTTTTAGTGTACCTAAACAAATTGGTACTGGTATGCCATTGTGCTGTATCTTCATATTTCCTTACGGAAACAAAGTAACGTTGATCTGGAAGTATTCGGCACTGTAAATGGGGAGTCGACAATTAATATATTGATGGTCCCTCTTACTAAATTGAGCCATATTTGTAAACTGTTAATCATTTCGTACTATACAGTAACTTGTGTCGGCGGGTACTGAACAGCAGTTTCGTCTCAGTCTGAAATCCCACAACAGTACACACCCACAAGTCCCCTCCCTCAATACCCCTTTATTCCAGCTCTCAGACGTAGATACACAACTATCCAAAGCACAAGGATTATAATCTGGAAGTTTTGAGAAATAAGCTGAGTAACTGGATTTGAGTCATTTCAACATTAAACTAAAGACATATTGTATTTAAAATTCATCATACTTTGTTCCGAATGCCACTAAGAACTAGGATATAATCAACATTTACAATAGTATTTTGTCATTACAAACGCTGATGAACCATCACAAATTTCCTATAGTTTGTTAAATTCCTTAAACAGTAAGCACTAAATTTCAAACCATTAATTCAATAATACCATCTCTATAGATTTAATAGTTGAGATTGTTGACGAAATTCACTAAAAATGTCGATAAACCAGTTTGTCATACTCTTTTTTTTTTTAATTTATTTTAATACTTTCTCAATTATAACATAAAATATCTTTGAATTTATCAAATCTTTGAAACTATTCAATAGAATATTATCCATCATAGATTATTTATTCTCATTTGTTTACGTAATCATAAATGTGTAAACAGAACTGATTAATCAGTAAAAATTCACTTTCATATTAGCCTTATAAATGAAACATTTTAGACAGGTGTATAAAATTGACTAAGTAAGTAGATCGAATTATTTGTATGTTCCATTGTATGTATGTGCATATTCACTTTATTTCTATTCATACTCTATTTTGGTCAAAACATATTTTTTTTTCTCTTACATATACATATCACACCTGTCCCTATTTTGAGTTGATCAAATTCTGGTCTCAAAAATTCTAATGTGTCCATCATTAGCATATTATGGTAGAATGTTTTAGTATATTTGTGTTAGTTATTCTTACTCATGTAGTGTTTACTCACTATGACTATATATATACATATATAAATGAAATGCATACTTCCCTTCGTTATACATGTATATACATGTGTATATATGTCAGCTAGCTGGTTAGTTAGTTAGTTGGTTAAAAATTGATCAAATGAATGAGTTGATCACTTGTCTTAGGTAATCTCTGTCATGGTTAGTATTAGTGATGTTGATGGTGGTAGGGTGGTCGTTGTTATTGTTGTTTTACTAGTGGTGATTGAAAGTGTAGGTGAATTTGTTGAATATTCAAAAAGTTTATTCTATCACTATTCTTTGTAGGTATGTGTGAATGAATTTATCATATTAGCAATATTGATTAGGTTTTATACATGTATAATGGGATCAAATGAATTTTCTCAAGTTGAAAATCATTTAGAATTATTATTGATAATGATGATAATCACGATTTGATGAAGTTGGATAAATTTTGTTATTTTAATCCAGCTGAGTTCATATGTGTGTTAATTGACATAGATGTTATTATCCTTTCGATTATTATTCTCTTAGACCGCATGTATACATTCATAAACGATAATCCATTAAGATGATGTCATTCAAGGGAATATCCTGTTTGTTTTTTTCATATTTCTTAAAATTCATAAGAGTTTAATTTAACTAGTCATCTTATCACTGTAACCTACTAGGGTAGTTTAAAATCTAAGATCAGAATTTGTTTTATTCTGGTGACTATTTGGCCTTATAACGACATTTAATATAAAGAATTGATAATGCTAGAGTTAGCTTCACTAACATTTTTTCGTAAAGACAGTTTTCTTAAAAGATTGATATTAGCTAGAAAGCCAATGAATATCGGGGAATATTATTAAACAAGTGTTTTTGTTTTTAAACCTCAGAAGTAATTACTACACAAGACTGAACTCAAGACATTCAGATATTGGGGTGAGCAAGTCACATTCAGACCAATGAATTTGTATCCAGTTATCCAAATCTTAAATTACTGTCATTGTGTGATGTGGTGATCATTTAGTGTTATTAATAAAGTATTGTTGATCTCTATCACTCACGAATTCTCACTAGAACTTAAAGTCAGTTATTGATAAGCTTATTACACTGTTTATTTTATCTAACAACTGATCAATAAAACCTTTAAATTATTTAAACTTAAATCGTTCCCTCCAAAAATAGGAGCAGAAATCTTACTAAATCTACTTCAAATAGTAAATTTGCATCTTTTGTAAAATATCCATAACAAAATGTAGAAGAAATATTGTTGAATATATTAAAAAAATTGTACTCAAATAATAATTGTATATTATATTTTGGTTGAAAATATCATCTTTCATGGTCCATTCGGAAAGTCATTTCAGTTGTATTGACTGAAGAAGCAGACTTAATTATTCATTACAAAAGGGTTTTCCATAATAATCTCATTTTGGTTAGGAATATAAAGGCAATAATTTGTCCTAACAGTTTTTCAACAAGAATTATGACTGTTGACTAGGATTAGATGGC